GCACCCATTGCTATCACACATTATTGCATCCTAGTAGTTCCTACAAAATGGTACAAATACTAATAATTTATTATTAAACAATAATTAAAGGCAAATATTAAATTATAAAATGCTGTTCTTACATATATTTATAATCATATATAATTAATTAATAAAGCCAGTTAATTTTATTAGCGGTGGATTGGACACACCTGATTTTCACTGCTCACTTCCTTTGAGGAATTGAAGTACTGCACAAGTGCCATCAAACTAGCTTATCTAATTCTTCCCCAGTTCCTTATATTTGAAAACAACCAATATTCCATTTCTCACAAACAAGTGAAGGTCCAAAGCTTCTGGTTCAAGTTTTTGTCCAGTTTAATCCAAATTTTATATGTACTTGCATGTCAATCAAAAGAGAGCCATTAGCATTTCAAAAAATACTTTGCTTATAATTATTTTAAAAGTATTGATAATATGGTGCATGTGTTATGCAGAAAGAAAAGAGCTGTTGAAAGGAATGATTGAAGAGTAATTTGTTTATTGAATGCCTTTTCAAACATACTTTGAAAACATGCTATGTAGGAGTAAAAACATGAAGAAAAATTCTTGAACTGTGCTAGATACTAAGTTTTAAAGAGTGAAAGTAAATAAGAGTGAAAGTAAAAATAATATTTTTAACAGCACAGAAGATAAAGAGGTTTGCAATTATGTGTATGCATGCATATATTAGTACTATTTATCATAAGATATTTTCAGTCTTCTATTTATATATATATATGTTACTAGTGATCCAAAGGGATTTTTAGTCTTCCGTGTATTTCAGAAAGTATTTGGTTTCTTTCAGGACATTTCTGAATAATTCAGATGGACATCTTCCTCGAGATTTTTCAGAGGTCTTGTATCATCCTTTACACTGGTTATTTTGCATACCATCATCCTGTTTTTTCTTATTGAAGTGAGTATCAAAATTTGATTATTGTAAAAGCATCTCTGAATAGTCAGTGTTAGTCAAATACTGTTGCAACATTTTGAAAAGACTGTATCTGAATAAACGTCTAATCAATATTCTGATTTATAAATCTGTAGGAGCATTTTTTAATTCACTACAGATTTCTCTAAGAATCTGTCAGAAAGGTTGCACTGAAAGCAGTGTGCTATGTTTTTTGCTAGTCTGTTCATTGTGTTTGATATTTGAATTATCTGTAAAGTTTTTCTGGCTTTAATTAAAGAGTATATAGCTCATGACAATAACGTAGTTCAGCACAGTTGCTGTTCTGAAGGACTTATTATTAAAGAAGAGATAGAGTGCATGCCTTTCTGTTAATGATTGCTGGTTAAAAAAGGTTTGATATATAAATAACTCATTGAAAAAGATGCTGTTTGATTGCAGTTGGGGTTTTTTGAGATTACTGAATGTTTAGAGGCAAAAACTTAATCTATTTTTCTGTGTCCCTGCATATAATGGCAAGTTACATATGAGACATGCTACCAGCTGTGCTGTCATTCCCTTTCTAATTTTGAACCTGAAGGACTCCCACACCGGTGTAGATCCTCTCCTAACCCCTTCACCTCCTCCTCCTCTTCAAATCTATTTCCTGAGTGATTTTCACTCTCCATTTTCATGAAAATCTGCTTTTGTGAGATGTTGTTGTGTTTTCTGAAAAAGTATTTTTATTTTTTGGAGGAATACATTATCATATGAGTGGTGACCTATGGTGACCTGTTGATGACCAATGTGCTGTGGATTTATCACCTCTTACCTAGTACAGACACAGTATCTTGTACCCTGTACATCACAATATCTTGCCTATGGTTTTGCCTCATACTATACAAAGCGTGCTGATTCTCTCCATAGCCTTCATTCCTAAGTTTAAGTTATGCAGAAAACTTTATTTTAGAGCACCCTAATTATTCATGGATTTTTTTCCTGGTTTTATGTCTTATATCTAATAAAAATATATATTCACTGTCCATTACCAAATTGGAAGCACAGGCCGTTATACACCCCTCAACTGTGGCCACCTAATTCTTAATTGAAGACTCTAACCTGTCATAAATGTAGCTATTAAGTATTTGCTCTTCCTAAGCTTGATATTTCAAAAGAAATTTTAGCTGGTTCCTGAAATTATTTTGTTTACTATATAACTTGATTTACTACATTATTTTTCATGCCTGAAAATGGCTACAGTCTGTTTTATTTTATCTGTTTGACTCCAACATGTTTGTTAAGGTTCTTACTATGAATTAGCATCTTTGTTTGCCTTATAAAATCTTGAACTTACCATTTGAGGTTTTCTTTCTTTCTGTCTTTGATTAATCAAAATAATGTAGTTGGTTATCAAACTAAATAATTACAGATAATTTATATTACAGATCCTTTAGTGGTAATTGTGATTCATTCTTTGCCTTATTTGGGGTTTATAATCATATTGTTTGCAAATCACAGTTAGGTTTTTTCTTTTACTGTACAAAACTGAACATTTATATGTGTGATATTTATATGTACTTCACCTTTTGTCACTTTTTATGAGGCTAGTCTTATTTTCACTAGTACTGAGCTATGAGGATGGGAGAACATATGTCTCTCCGTATGCACATTGCAAGCTTCTCAGTGCATTTATTGGTGCTAGCTTCATGGCTGTAGGGAATGTCTGCTGTATTTTATTTTTCCTCCAAGTGAGTCACACCATTGTACATTTCAATTTGCAAGATGCTTAAAGAGCCAAGAGCTGGTGTATATTACAACATGATAGCTTCCCATCTGGTCAATGACAGACAAGGTTTTTTTCAACTCAAATATTCTAAAAATGTAATTTATCTCTTAAGTAATTTAAAATATTATCCTTCATAAATCCAATTGATCAAAGTTGTCCCTTATCTTGTAGTTGGAAGGCAATGAGTGACCTTATTAGATATGATAACATGACCTTCAAGGGGGAAAAAATTAAACTGGCCTGTATAATTTAACTGAATTAGTGAAGAATTTGCTGTCAGCCACATCACTAATTCTAGTGTGAATATAGTGATTGTTTTAACTTTAATTACTAACTGCTAATTAGTTCTTAACAGGCATTAGAGTTTATGAATATATAACTAAGCTTGAACATACAGAAGATAATTCTATTAAGAATTCAAAGCCCTAATGTTGAAAGTTTGAGTGCAATGTTTTCTAAATATTGAAGTTATTCTGACTTCAAGTTCTATCAATATTTAAATGTGTATGTGTATAGAGTCATGACAAATATTAGAATCCGGTATGTTCTAATATGCAAATGTAATTGTAGAGCAGGTGATACATTGTCAGTGATTGTATATAAAGTTCCAGGTGAAAATCACAGAAGCTCTACATGTTTTTCTGGCACATACACTGCTTATCAGCTCAGAATTATTTTCTTTGCTGTTAAAATTGCAAAGGCTGATGTGCATAAAATCTTACTTCACTAAAATCATTGTTACAGTGAAGTTTTGACATAATAGTGTCATGTAAGCGTCCTGCTGGGAAATGATGTTATGGAAGCTTGGTTTCCTTATGTTACTTCAAGGTTGCCCTGCAAGATAGATGATATACTGCTTTTTCCGGAAATGGAAACATACAGACTTAAGAGGAACTAAACTAGAGGAGTGTATGAGCTTTCGTTTTTATATCCAGGTGTTGTAGGTTTGTATGGGGTATATACAAAGTGTTTGTGCAGTCATGTCTGTTTTTTTCCATGTATGCATTCAAGCAGAGTTGGGTGGCTGAGTTAGACGTATGCAGTGCAATGGAGAGGTTCCCCTCAGCTACAGCAACCACATAAGCCCATTTTAGTTCTGTCCCAATAGTTGTGTGTAAATGGCACATCAAGTGTTTGAGGAGAGGCATATAAATCCCTCTCTAGTCTGATAGGAAAATGTCAGACTGAAAGCCTCTTGATGAAGGAGATTTTTACTGATGCTGAAGGTGTTGTGTGCATACTAGGAGATAATATTTATGCCCGTACAGTTAACACATCAGTGCATATGTAGTTTTAACACTGGTGCATATATAAGATTTATGTGCATTAAAGTTTACATATGAAGTGCATAAACTTTCAATGTTAGCAACTATTATTGTAGAAACTTGTAGCCAAAATAAATAAATACCGTGGCTAAACATTAGTTGAAATTTCATTTAAAAACCTTCAGTTTAATAAAAAATTAAACTTTCAAGGAAAAAAATTAGCCAAAATCCAATTTTGAAAAGTTCTTTTAAAAGATGTTTCAGAAAGAAGAAAATGCTAACTACAATAGGTGATCAACATCTTGCAGGACAGATGTTATTCATGTTTTTGAACTATAATGTGAGTTCAGTGGTTGGTGTTGTTGGGTTGTTGACTGAGCTCAGAGGAAGCCCTGATATATTTTATTTGGAAACCTCAACTTTTGCAAAACATGGAAACTACAAACAGAAAACAAACTAGAAACTCTTTAAAAGCTGATGAATTTCTACTACACTTTATCTCTTCTCCCTGCTGACAAAGCAGTTACTCAACCAGTCTCATGTGTCACATGGGTCTTTCAGGACATATAAGAATTGGTCAGTCTAATGTGGAATTTTGCAACCCCTTTGAGCATTAATGTTTTTTAGTTAAGAACTTCGTCAAGGACAGACACTTAAAATCTCTTACTAAACAATTAATGTAATACTGCACTAAAAATAGTAGCCTTAAATTTATTCAAGCAGAAAAAAATATTAATTTTTAAAAAAATCTCCTTTTTGCCTGGTAGAACAAGACAAACATAGTTCCCTGAAAGTGAATTTGCTTTGTATCAGTTATAACTCTGGCAGACTACCAAATGTTAATTTGCTTTTAGCTAGTTAAGATTAAATGTAATTCCTTCCCTGAGCTGCCTAAAAGTAAGCAAGCATGAAAGCATTTTCAGAGTAATCTGGAAAGAATTGACATTTAAGAGAGTTAACATTACATCTGCAATTTAAGGATATTAATTTCATGGATAAATTAACTACATTATTCTGTCTTTATCTTACATTTTGAAAGGACTCCATCAGCCAGAGAAATGGCAACCCAGGGTCAGCTGAAACTGCTCTTATCCCAGCCATACTGTAATTTGAACTTGCTTTTGGAAACATTGCTACATCATGATTGTCTCTTAGTGAAAATTTTGCTGAGAGGCTCAAGTAAGTATCAATCGGTATACAAACATCACTGTAAAACACAAATTCATTTTTACCTACTTAAATGCTGGAGGAAGGATGTCAACCATTTGGGGGTGAGGGGGGTGTTAGGTAATCAATCAGTTATCAATAGGACACTTCTGGAACGGGTCCAAAGACAGAAAAAGCATTGCTTTTTTAATGAGAATGTTTTGTGATCAATCTGAGTATTTATAGTTTCAAAGCAGACTATAATTTGGTAAAGTAGGTTGCTATCATAAATGCAAATGAGTCAGAATGAATTTGAGTTTATTGGAGCTTTGATACCACAACTACTTTACACAGATTTTTAGAAGCGTGGGATAGCAGTCTAAAAGATCACTTGCAAAATTATGTTTCAAGAGTGAAAGGTTTCTTAGATATATGGTTTAAGTCATTAAGTATACATCACTGTAGGCATTCTAGAATTATTTTTACATGTTTCCTCTTGTTAATTCATTAATGCCATCTTGAAAACAGAACAAATAAAAGAATGGTTCTACAAGGTTTTATTTGCATTCTGCTAGTATTCTGTTTTAAGCTACAAACTTTATCATATCTTTCCTTTAATAGCTTTCAGAGCAAATGATCATGTTGTTGAAAAGCTAATGGTATAATCACCTGTTCAATATAATTTTGCAGGAATAATTAGAGTCTCATTTTCTGTATTTCTTTGCAAAATAATTCTTCCTAACTATGAAAAAAATGACATACACATAACATTAGATATAATTTAGTTCTGCCATTTTAAAGTGATTTAACATTTGTCAAGGGTACAACGTAGCTTCCATTGCTGTCATGCATCTTACTGAGATCCGCAGTGTATACACTTGTCTACTCAGATACCTGTCATCTTTTGCAATGACTGGCAAATGTTTGATCAGGATCATATTCTTATCCTACTGTTATCCAGTATTGAATTTTACTAACTGCTTAAATTATTGCATGTATTAAGTGACAGAATGTATTAATCTATTGACTGGCCAGCCTCTTAATCTTTAGGGAAATACATGTTACTTTGAATTACAAAATGTGCTATTTTCACAGGCTTTATTAATGTAACTACAATATTGGTATGAATAAACTTTCAGTTTAGATAAAGTTGATAACTGCCATAATCCATATCTTCTAAATTGATTTCAATAGGGTTAATTGTCTAATGGCAAAATGTATTCTTTATTCCTTCTCCTATACACCAGCTTTCCAAAGCTATACAAATGAAATTTTTATTATGTGAGCTGTTATGTGTTAATACAAGGAAAGCCAGACTAACGAGCTATAGCTTAGTACTAACAATGTCAGTTTTGGATTATTCTGTTCAGTAAGCTAAAAGGTTTACAGAAATATGTAGCATCAACAGTAAAATTTTGTAATGTGTAACATTATGCATGAAAACAGATAAAAAGCTAAGTATACCATAGTTTTTGAGAGATTTGCCCTAGTGATAACAAAACTCCCTGGTATTTAACTACATGATAATTTTTTTTTAATAGGAAAAGCCTTCTCACGTATTACTTTATTTCACATTTAGTCTTTCTTCTTCCCTTTCAAAACTTGGCCAGAAAGCAAAAAATCTATATTAAGGAGTGCTTATATGTAGATATTTTTAGGCAATGGTAAATTTTTTGTATTCTACTTTGGAATACTCAAGGTAGACATAATTCAAACACATGTAATTTCATTGCACTTCCATTGTTCTTGTGGTTGTACCATGGTGAGAATCAGAAATAACATATATTCCCCATCATAATAGGGAGTACTGTTGAGATTGGCAAAGTTTTTTGAGTGGAAAGAGTATTTTGGTAGAATGCATATATGCATGATTTTGTGTTGCTAAATATTATAAGAAAGTTATCATATTTATGGAAGCTATTGAAACTCCATGCATGTAACTATATGCTCTCTAGAAAGGAAGGTGACAAGATTTGGACTTTTGTAATTTTTTGTGCTATATGATCTGAAATAGACATAAGAAGTCAAATATGAAAATATGAAGTTATTGCATCAAGAAAACTAAATGCAACAAATTGGATTACTGAAAACTGAACCATTTATTTCTCTCCATTGATTATGTCCACTAGGTAAATGCAATTTTGAAAAAATAGTTGAAAAATTAGATTTTCATGTGTGACATCTATAACTTAAGCTACAAGTCTAAATAACGCAGATGTGTTGAATTACAGTTAATTACGGTGTCATATAATCCTAGAGTTGTTTTCTATAGGTCCAGCATTTAGTAAATTTCTTCTAAGACATGTTCTTGAGTGAGTGAAAGGTCCAAGGTCTTTGCTGTGGCTTTGTGGAGAGAAATATTAAAGGTAGCTTGTACTGTGTCAATTTTCTGACAAAACAAACTGTTTTGCAATTTACTTGGCAGAATTTTTTACCAGAATTACTTTTTCATCCATAGATATGAACCAGAAATGGATTATTTGACAAGCAACAAATAATAGAAGAATAAATAAAGTGATGCTTGTATAATATAAGTAATTGAATTCAGCTGATACAAAAACATGAGGGTAAAAGTGAATGCTGAAAAATTCTGTTACACAGCAGCACAGTCTGTGACTTCTCATTTGAGAGCTAGGAGTTATTATTTGCGTAAAAAAGCAAAAAGCAATAGCTTTATTGAATTACACTTGACCAACACAGGATTAATACCAAAAGGTACCTCATCAGTCAACACACACCTGCCATTTACCAACAGGAGATAAGAAAGAGGTCACCGAGAAATCGTGAACAAGGAACATCTGAGGTCTTCAGTCAGTCCTTGAGCCTCATATATATTTTTGCTTAAGAAGGCATGGTAGCATCAAGTTAATGATGAACAATAGAACATACAATGTATTCCTTAATAATCTTAGAAATAATCTTATTCATTATCATGAATACATGAGACTGCAGTTGTTACAGAGATTTAATTTCACTTTCTACACACAACTTTCTAGTGAGTACTCTCATGTGGAGATAAAGTGGAAGAAAACTGCATTCACAGCAGAACCAGCCAGTTTCACCTAATGTTTCTGACTTGCACAATACATATCTGAGAGACTAATAGAAGAGCATATTATGTTACCATACATTTAAATCTAGATGGTATTCTGGTCCCCACTAAAACTTTGTAATAAGAATGGATGGTAACATTTGCAAATGTTCTCTGATAAGTTTAAAGCTGAAAATCTGAAATTGAACCCAAAGAAATGTGAATTGCTTCAAAATTATATCATTTTCCTTGCACACATAAACAAGTTGGGGGAGGGAGGATTTTCACTGAGAAAATAATATTGGGTGCTATTTTTGCCCCCTGTGAAGCAGTTCTTTAACTGCCACAATGTATAATGTGCCATTTTAAGGTAAATTTTAAGTACTAATTAAATTTTAATCAAGCTTAATTAATTACGTTTTAGACGCTTCAGGGCAAATAGCACTGGTTTTCTCTAAGTTAACCTAAAAGAATAGTGGAAGGTGATAACTTTTCCAATTGACCTCACTTAGGAATCAGACTGAACTATTAGTGATAGTAGTGAGTTATTACATGCCTTAAGTAAATTACCAACTCCATTAAAATCCTGGCATTGTCTAGATCTGTAACAATTTGACGCTTTTATTTTAAGTACTTGAAGGTCATTATTTTTGTACTTTCTATTAATGACTCCTTGGATTTAATAATCCTGAGGCACAGTCTACCAGACAAGTGAGTAAACCTCAACCACACATCATTTTGGGGAAATACAGTCTTGCAGGTTTTTCCTTGGGTGTTAATCTGAAACCATGTCCTCATTAGGCAAGCAGAAGTAAGTCTCTTAGAGGAATTCATATGCTTGTGCAGAAATAGATCTCTCCTCTAGTTATTTGTGGATCGTCCAGGATGAGGATTGTGAGTACACCTGAAAGTTTTCTTAGCTTCTTCATGATAGCAATCTGCGTCCTGATAGCGTAGCAGCAAATGATTAAAATATTACTGTAAAAGTGGCATCTTCTCAAGATATCCATCCGACTAGTAAGCTTCTTGGATTCTGTACCTGAATAAGCAATGAAGGGATTAATAAAATGATGTACTTCTAGCTGGAATATAAGTTAAAAAGGAGCCTTAATCAGATATCATATTCCTTATGATGCCTTTCCAGTGATAAGGTAAAGACAACAGTGAACAGATTTTTTGGAGCTGAATAGGAATTCCTGTTTGTACTGTAGTAGAGCCCTGCTGAGAATCACTCTTGACAAAGTGTGAAGATAGATGTGTGATACTCTCTGTGTCTATGATATACGGTCATATCGATACCTTTTCCAACACTTAGTAATTTCTGGTGGGAATTTCTTGCTACAGAAGATATCTGAATGACTAAGTTATAAGAGAGTAACTTGTCCAGTATTGTTCCCAATAGATGGAATAATACAAAGGAGCTAATGTGGCCATGGGACATTCAATATTGCCTCATCAAATTTGACTGTCAGAATGCCACAATTTCTGCATACTATCCCATAAAATCAGTGCTTGAGGTATTCTGATAGTAATGTGGGCTTTTTTCTATCACAGAAGTCACTAATTCAGAGATTCATTAATGGAAACTTCTCAGATAATTGAAAATGAAATGTTTGGGGAGAAAAAATTCTAAATGGATTTGAATGAAAGTAAAATCACAGAAATCACAGAGTCACAGAATCAATCAAGCTGGAAAAGACCTGAGATCATCAAGTCCAACCTATGACCTAACACGACTAAGTCAAGTAGACCATGACACTAAGTGCCGTGTTCAGTCATTTCTTGAACACCTCCAGGGATAGTAACTCTACCACCTTCCAAGGCAGTCCATTCCAGTGAAGAAATTCTTCCTAATGTCTAACCTAGACCTCCCCTGGTGCAGCTTGAGACTATGTCCTCTCATCCTGTCACTAGTTGCCTGGGAGAAGAGACGAAGTGCATTATTTTGTCATAGGAAGAATTGACTGTCAATGTTTAGGTCATAATTGTTATTCAATAGATACATAATTTTCTCATAAATATATTTATTGAAAACAATAGTATTTTAATATATTTGGTATCTTCCGTGCATATGGAACATTGTGCTATATGGAAATAATAAACAACAGATTACAGTTAAGTGTATAGCCACATTTAGGTATGGACATTAAGTTCTGCTAAAATGATAAAGAAGCAGCTCTTTTGAGCTACCTATAGGAGCTTTAATTCCCTTCACAGATTAGGTTTTTCTATACACCTGCAGTCAGTGAATAAAAAAGAGAAATGTATAGAAGGAAGCATCAGTGGGCAATAGGTGTGATGCCTATCATATAAATTCTGTTCTTATGTGAAAATTATCAAGAAGACTGCATTGGAGTTCAAACTAAGATGAATTTTTAATGTTATGACAGGTAACCTAATAAATGTTCAAAAAAAATCTAAGGCAAAAGTAATCTACATATCTTTCTGTGGAGTCCTAATTCGTAATATTTAATGAACTATACTGATCAGCTAGCTAAACATTTCAACCAGCCAACATCCTTTGAGGTCCCTACTAACCCAAAGGATTCTATGATTCTGTGATTCTATGATACATGCCTACTTACAAGTTAGAAAACTCATTTCAACCTGAGCTTTAAAGGCTCAGATATTTACAACACGGGCAACATTCACTTCAGTGTAACAAGAACAAGCTGTTGAACACTTAGATAAATTATGTTTACCTGCAGAATGGTTTACCAGTGAATTCATGAAGATCTTTGCCACTAGTTACTGCACAATATGTGTATAATACATGCCTACTTACAAGTTAGAAAACTCATTTCAACCTGAGCTTTAAAGGCTCAGATATTTACAACACGGGCAACATTCACTTCAGTGTAACAAGAACAAGCTGTTGAACACTTAGATAAATTATGTTTACCTGCAGAATGGTTTACCAGTGAATTCATGAAGATCTTTGCCACTAGTTACTGCACAATATGTGTATAATCTACAGAGT